CAAGAAGGCCTTATAGGAATAAGAAAGCCATGGCAGATGTGAAAGCTGGCCGCAACTTTGAATGTTTTCTTTCAGTCCACATGTAGCTCAGTAGGCAAAGGTTGGGGAAGGCTTGGGGAACTGAGGTGTCTGCTAAAATCACTGGCTGACCACTAAACTATACAGACACAGAGGTGGCCACAAGGCAGCAAGACTAAGAAAAAAGTTTAAAAACTCTCAGCAGAAACGTTGTTGGCCCCACTTTGTGGGAAAAAGAGATTATGTAGTTTAAGTTGAAGCAAGTTACTAAAACAAAGACACATGCACAGACACACACACAAAAACCAATGCACCTTTGAAAAATAAAATTGAATGCAAAAGTGCAACAATCTATTATTGAAAATTTTAATTTTCACATATGCATTACAAGATATGCAAAAAAACAGAAAAGTATGACCCATACTCAGAAAAAATAAAGGACAAAAGTAGACAATAGAAACTGACTCTGAGGAACCCAGATGTTGAATTCAGCAGACAAAGACTTCAAAGAAAATTTACAAATTTGTTGAAAGAATTTAAAAAATGTTCAAAGAATTGAAAGGAAATAAGCAATCAATGAATTACTTAATGGAAAATTCAGCATAGAAATAGAAACTACACAAAAGAACCAAATTGACATTTTAGAATTGAAACGTATAATAAAGATTTTTAAAATTCACTAGGTGAACTCAACAGCAGAGTTCAGATCACAGAAGACTCAGTGATTTAGAAGATAGATTAATAGAAACAGTTTCTATTAATTAAGCTATTAAGCTCAAGGAGAAAAAGGTTTGGAAAAAGGGAATCGAATCCCAGAGATCTACCGACAGCTTCAAGAATTCCAGCACATGTTTACTGTGGATTATAAAAGGAGGGGAGAGAAAGAGACAAAATCATTTGAAAATATAACGGCTGAAAACTTTCCATTTTGATGAAGAACATCTACTTCCATACCCAAGGAACTCAATGAACACCAACGAATACACACTCACAAAGGAGAACACACCTAGACAAAACAAGAATTGACAGAATTCACTGGTAGCTGACCTTACCTACAAGGAAAAAGAAGGAAAGTTCTTTTGGCTGATAGAAAGGACACAGACAGTAACTTCGATCCATAGGAAGAAAGGTAGATCAAAGGGAATATTTGAGTAAATGAAAAGATTGTATGTGTGCACATATACCTTTTCTTATGCTTTCTTAAATGCTTTAAAATAAGAACATGGTTTAAAGTAATAATTATAACACAGTATTCATTTTATTTGTGATGATTTTCTGTGTATGACATAAATAACAAAGGGATGAGGAAAGACGAAATGGAGCTTCACTGGTGCAAATTTGCTGTATTTTATAAAGTTAAGTCAGTACTAATTTTAAGTGAATTGTGAAAGTTAAATATTATAATCTCTAGAGCAACTAATTTTAAAAAATCATTAAAAAAATAGTCAAATCAGGCATGGCAGCACACAGCTGCATTCCCAGCTACCCCAGAGGCTGAGGTGGGAGGATCCCTTGAATACAGGAGTTCAAGAATACAGTGAGCTGGGAACACATCACTGTACTCAAGGCTGGGTGACAGAATGAGATCCTATCTCAAAAAAATACAGCCACAATATCAACAGAGGAGTTAAAAATGTTATTCAAAAATACCAAAGAAGACAATGAAAGAGGAACAAAAAAGACATGAGATATATAGGAAACAGCAAAAGGGCAGATAATTTTTTTTCCCCATTTATTTATTTTATTGCATTTTAGGTTTGGGGGTACATGTGAAGAACATGCAAAATTGTTGCATAGGAACACACGTGGCAGTGTGATTTGCTGCCTTCCTCCCCATCACCTACATCTGGCATTTCTCCCCTTGCTATCTCTCCCCAGCTTCCCACCCCCCACCATTCCTCCCCTATTTCCCCCCCAACTGACCCCAGTGTGTAGTGCTCCCCTCCCTGTGTCCATGTGTTCTCATTGTTCAACACCCAAAGGGCAGATAATTTTAACTATAGTCATATGTCATTTAATGACAGGGATACATCTGAGAAATGTGTCATTAGGCGATTTTGTCATGCAAATATCACAGTGTACTTACACAAACCTAGATGTTACAGCCTCCTACACACATAGGCTGTGCTGTATGTAGCCTATTGCTCCTAGGCTACAAATCTAGAGAGCATATCACTGTACTGAATACTGTGGGCAAAATGTAACACAATGGTAAATATTTTGTGTATCTAAACATCTAAACACAGTAGGGTTACATTAAAAACACAGTATTATTTTCTTACAGGACCACTGTCATTTATGATCAGAATGTCATTATATAGAAAATGACTGTATATTAATGATAGGGTTTGGCTCTGTGTCCCCAACCAAATCTCGTATCAGATTGTAATCCCCACGTGTGAAGGGAAGGACCTGGCGGGAGATGATTGGATCATGGAGGCAGTCTCCCCTATTCTGGCTTCATGATAGTGAGGGAGTTCTCATGAGATGTGATGATTTAAAAGTGTGCACTTGCTCTTTACTCGCTCGCTCTCCTACTGCCTTGTGAAGAAGGTACCTGCTTCCCCTTTTCCTTCTACCATCATTGTAAGTTTCCTGAAACCTTTCTAGCCATGCCAAACTGTGAGTCAGTTAAACCTCTTGTTTATAAATTACTCTATCTCAGGTCATATCTTTATAGCAGTGTAATAATGGATTAATACAATTAATAACACATTAAATGTGAATAGACTGAACACTCAATCAAAAGGCATAGGTAGGATGGGTTAAAAACCAAGATCTTACTATTTGTCTGTAAAAGATGCACTTTAAATTCAAAGACACAAATAGGTTAGGGCACAAGAATGAAGAAAGATAGGCATGCATTCAGTAACAATAACAGTTAAAATGGTTATATTGGTATGAGATAAAATAGACTTCAAGATGAATTTTGCTAGACATGATCTTCTCAATAAAATTTTATAATGATAAAAGGTTCAATACATCAGAAATGTATAACAATTATAAATATATAGGCTCATAACAACAGAGCCCTAAAGCAAACAAAGCAAAATGTTTACAGAAGTTAAGAAGAAATAAAAACTATAGCAGCTATAGTTGGAGATTTAACCATTTGTGTCACATTAACTGATAGCAAAACTAGGGTGAAAACCAGTAAGGATACAGAAGACTTGAACAACGCTGCTAACTTTTAAGACCGAATTGACGTTTAAAGAGTATTCCACATAGCAACAGCAAATTACAAATTATTCTCAAGCACACATGAAAGAATCTTCAGCATAGACTGTATGACAATTCCTAAAGCAGGTGCCAAAAAATTTAAAGGATTAAAATAAGTTTTTTTTTTTTTTTTTTTTTTTTTGAGACAGTCTTGTTCTATTGCCCAGGTTGGAGTGCAGTGGTGTGATCTCAGCTCACTGCAACCTCCACCTCCAGGGTTCAAGCAATTCTCCTGCTTCAGCCTCTCAAGTAGCCACAGTGCCCAGCTAATTTTTGTATTTTTAATAGAGACGGGGTTTCACCCTAATGGCCAGGCTGGTCTTGAATTCCTGACCTTGTGATCAGCCTGCCTCAGCCTCCCAAAGTACTGGGATTACAGGCATGAGCTACCGCACCCAACCTAATAAATAAGTCTTTTTTTATAATAATAAAATTAGAAATTTATATTAGAAAAATAATTGGAAAATCTCCAAATATTTTGGAATTGAATGACAGATTTCTAAAAAACAGATTAGTCAAAGAAGAAATCAAAAGATAACTTGTAAAACACTTTAAAAGAAAATAAAAACACAGCATATCAAAATTTATGGTACGCAGCTTAGCAAGGTTTAGTGGGAAATTCATAGTATGAAATGCTTGTATAATTAGAGAAGAAAAACCTCAATCATATCTTTTACCTTGATAAGCAACAAGGAAAAAGTAAAACCCAAACTAGAAAAAAGAAAATAATAAAGATCAGAGCACAAAACCATGAAATAGGTATAGAAACATAACAGAAAAAAATGGATGGAACCAAAAGCTAGTTTTTTTGTAAAGTTCCATAAAATTAATAAACATTAAGTACAAACCATATAAGAGAAGAATGATAAGGAAATGTTGTGAACAACTTTCTTCCTAAAAACTTAACACTTAGATGAGATAAATTCCTAGAAAAACACAAATTACAAAACTGATTCAGAGGTAACAGAAAAATGGAATAGATTATCTAAGTAAGTAATCTGATTAGTAATTAAAAATAAGGGACAAAAGACTTCTGTGAAAAAGATTTTACTTTGTGAAAATTCCATGTTATTTGAATCTTTACTACGATTGGGATGTAGTCCTGAATGGTTTATGTAGTAACAAATGTGCCTATCTCTGCTACCTATAGTTGTTAGGGGTTCAGTTTAATAAACTCATAGAACACATTAGGGTTCACCCAGCTCCTGGTTTCTTTTTTTTTTTTTTTTTTTTTTCGGATTTTTTTTTTTTTTTTTTTTTGTAAAATGGCTGAACTAAATTAGGCCTTTTTTTCCCATTTGCTCTTTATAGTGAAACTGAGAACGAAACTATTTACTGTTTATACATGAGAGCTAAAAGTATTTCCAGAAATTTAAACAATTTAAAAAATTTCTTCTGCAGAGATGCAAAGCATCTCAAGTAATGCTGGAATGAACACATGTCTTAAATTCAATGGAGTAAGCTTTTAGATTGAAGAGGACCTGTCATTTCACCCAAGCTGAAGACAATAGCCTTATGCTCGTGTGTGCTCTGTCTTGGCTGCTGCTTGTGTTTGAAACCTTTCCTGTGGGATCAGCACAGCAAAGTGCAACTTACCAAATGGTTTAATGACTGGTTAATTCTTTCTTCTCCCAATGGAAAAGCAATGGCAGCACAACAGTAGACTGCTGGCTTGACAATCTTAAAACATGAGCCTTTGCACATGTAGATTTATCATATTTGGGTATATGACTAAGCAAGTCAATGAACTTTTTAGCAGTTTAATTTGGTCCTGAGAATGCTGCAGTCTTTATTATCCCTTTTGCATTAATCTACTTTTCTAACCACCTTTTAAGCTTCAATTTTTAACACTAGTATACAACAAGCCTTTGAAATCACTGATCTGTTTGTTATTGAACTCTAAAGCATTTGATACTTCTTGCCTTAACAGTTTTGAAAACCACACACACACACACACACACACACACACACACACACACACAACTCTGTAATACAGTAAGCCAAAAGTTTCATCCTATCTTGCAGTTTACCTATCTGATCTCTGTAATTATAGTTCTCTCATTTAAAATATACTATTTCAATCTAATTTTTACATTTCAAAAATTATCTTCAGTAGTCACTAAGTATATTTTCTGTGGAGCTATTTCTGAGAATGTTATTTTTCAGAATGTGAGACTATATATGTACATGTATAATCTTGTGACTTTAAAGTCTGTTTTCAGATACCTTATGTAAATACTTGTAAAAAAATTTGTGTAATTTTGTGATAATGTAGTTTCCCAAAAAATTTCTTTCGAAGGTATTATGCTGTTAGTAGATGTGTAGAACTGTTTCTGTTTTCTGCACTTGCCATTGCAGCTGTCTTCACTGTCCATACCCACCACGTTCATCCTGTCACAAAAGGCAAGGAAACCGGGAACTTTACCAAAGTAGCACTGAGCCTGAGACGCTTGTATTATGAAGCTTTTCAAACTAAATTCACTTAAAAATTAAAAAGCAGAATTAAATATTTTCAGCAGCCTCTGTACCTCTGGCCAGTCCTGTTTTCATGGTGGATTATGAACATTATATGATCTTTGGGAAAAGGAAAAGCAGTTCAATTTACAGAATAATGACAACTGCCTCACTGTATCTCTCCACTCACACAGCAACCGTGTAGCCCCGTAAGCTGCAGCACCATCACTAACCATGACGTCAGTGTCATATGCCGATCCTCACAACAGCAGTGCACAAACATGCCCCAAATCGTTTCACAGAATTTAGCTCTTCTTTAAGCTGTCTTCGCGTAGTAAAAACAAAGCAGAAACACCCAATGTTAAAATCACTTAATAAACTTACAAACTTGAAAAATTAGACAATTTGGTTAGGCAATAAACTTCATATTATGAAAAAAATATATTCCAAGTTTCAAAGATTTGACGTTCTGTAGAGTATTCATCAGTAGATGGAAACTTCCAAACTGCATGATCTTCTGCCAGGTAGGACTGAGTGTTATTCGTTGGTTTGAGGTCGAATCCATTTCGAGGCATGTTGTGGTGGTACATTAATGGTGGGATGGGAGAATGTGCAGTCCGGTCTCGTACACTGAGTGTTAAACCTACAGGTATTGATCAACTTACCACCTATGCAACTTACGACCATTCGACTTTACGACCACAATCGCTAGCCACGACTGCTCTGCGTCTGGCAGCGCAAACGTTGCCCAGCTGGGCGTACAACAGTGCGGACCAGCTTCCGGCAGCACTACCATCTCTGCGTGCACCATTTCAACTGTACATCTAGCCTACTCAACTTACGACCACATCGTGTTACGACCGGTCCGCGGTCCCGACCGTGGTCGTAAGTCGAGCACTAGCTGTACAGTGTTTTGGATGATAGAAGGGACATTCCATCTTCTTACGAGCTAGGAAGTGGTGCTGGCGGTGCAACTGCTGGTTTTGGAGACAGTTCTGGAATTCTTCTGTTCACATGAGTGAAAGGACAATCTGGTTTCATACACTTTGCATCATATTTACAATTTGGGTGAACAAACACATTTTTTCAGCAAATTTACAGTTGGGGAAGGCTTTGCAGGGTGAGATGGGGTGATGGTAGGCACACTCATCCCCGTTTTTACAAACAGGCCAGTACTTGCAGCGCTTCAAAAGTTTTTCTGGTTTCTGTGCCATAGTCAGTTCACTCATGTCAGCGTTGGAAAAGCTGCTCTTTGGGTCCTTAAGCTGCCTGCTCAGCAAGTGCAACTGCTGTGGGTGGAGACCTCTGAGTCCCTTGTTTGAGGCTGCAGTTTGGTTTACGGGTTTCATTCCTTCAAAGCACATGTCCTCCTCTTGATCTGACATGTATCCTTGGGGACTGGGGACACCATCCAGCATCACTGTAAACTTGGGACTTGTAGGTTTATCTGGTTGTACAAAATCTCGTGTCTGCATAAGGTGTCCTGAAAGTACCCGAAGGGAATCTGCAGTCTTCATCCCCGACTCTTGGTTTGGTGCCACTACTATTTCCTCAGACAGCTTTGGCTTCTTCAGAGTAAATTATCTTGTGTCTGCATGGAACACGGATTCCATGTCATAGTAGTCTTGACCGATCTGCAGTTTCTGCCATTATTGGGTCAATTTGTCGTTGGGATAATAATTGCCTCTGTTGAGTTCCTTGATTTTTTTTCTATGGAATCTCCTTTTGTTTCCTTTTCTTTAATGGGGGGACTTATTCTGGGGGTCCTACTTTGTCCCTGGACCACTTCTGCTAGCAATTCTTCTTGAGAAGTTCAAGTTCTGGGAGCAACTGGAAGTGTCTGTTTCTGTGGGACTGTGGAATAGTTAGTTGTTTTTGTTATGGATTCTTGAGTTTCAGACATAGCCTTCAAAATCAGATTCCTGTTAGCTTGTTTAGAAGGTGGAAGAGAAGGTCTCCTTTCAGGATTTGGTGGCACAGACACACTGCTGGAGATGCTTTCTGTTCGAGACCATAGTCATCATCATCTTCCTCCTCTTCTCCATCATGATTGAATTTTTTTACTTTAACAACTGAACTTACAACAGGGAACTTTCTCTTCCAAAAGTTTTCATCCTCCAGACTCATTTTCTCCAAGTTGTTTCTTTTTTTTTTTTTTTTTTGTGGGACGGAGTTTCGCTCTTGTTACCCAGGCTGGAGTGCAATGGCACGATCTCAGCTCACTGCAGCCTCCGCCTCCTGGGTTCAGGCAATTCTCCTGCCTCAGCCTCCTGAGTAGCTGGGATTACAGGCACGCGCCACCATGCCCAGCTAATGTTTTGTATTTTCAGTAGAGACGGGGTTTCACCATGTTGACCAGGATGGTCTCGATCTCTTGACCTCGTGATCCACCCGCCTCGGCCTCCCAAAGTGCTGGGATTACAGGCTTGAGCCACCGTGCCTGGCCCTCTCCAAGTTGTTTCTAAAGAACGGACTGTATGTTTCTTCTAAGCTGTTAAGCGCTTCTGGATCACACAAACGTCCTGTTTCATATACCCAACTATTCTGTATATCAAGCTGCTTGGCAGCATGAATATTATTTTGCTGCTGTTGAAATTGCAACCTGTTTAAACGAACACCACTATCTGCCTTTATACTTGCAGGTGGTCAATAAATTTCCATAGAAGGGCGAGAAGAAACCTATGTAAGTGTCACTGTAGGTTTTTTCTGAGATAAAGTGTTCTCCTGCACAAAGTTCAGGTCTTCGTCAATGAGATCATCTGATTCTGGCTTAATATCAGTCACATCTTCAGAGGGTGCTGGCTCCCTCAAAGGTTTCACTGTTGACATTAGTCGGGTTGCAGCTCCATCATCATAAGTCTGCCTGACATTGGTGGTTTTTGACTCCTGTGAACGTGTAGGAACTCTGGAATCTCTTTTTTCAGGTCTAGTGCTAGGAATGGCATGTGGTGGCACTGTAGCTTCATGCTTCCTCTCATCTCCCCCACTGAAACTGCTCTTGTTTGAAGACATATTACTATCAAAGATGTTGGTATCAGAAGACTTTAGACTAGAAGGTCCAGTTGTAACAGAGTGAAGTTTATCTAATACACCATGAAGCCCTATGGTGAATCGAATTGTGTTGTTCCCTAGAAACAGGGAAAGATCCTCTGTCATTTGGTCCTGACTTTTCTTGTTGGCCACCATCACCATAATGTAATCAGGAAGTTCTCTATCAACATAAGCTCCTAATTCTTGCAATTTCCCCTTAATGACACTCCGGATCTTATGGCTGATCTCGGTGCCGATATCCATGGCTCCGCAGCTTGCGGGAACTCAGCACTGCGTGCCTGGCGCATATCTTACCCGAGCCTACAGCGGGATCCTACCCCACAGCCACCAGGTTTCTTTAGATTGAAGAAAGTGTTTAGGAAATAGCCCAGTATGCACAACAGCAGCATAGGTGTGGTCTTGTATCTCCCAGGACCAGCTTGCAATGTCCCTGCCATGCTGCTTATAGAGTATGCATGGCCATGAGAAACTGAAAAGGTGCAGACTGTCTCAACTCAGGGAAGCATTAGCTTTGGGTTTTCTTAAATCTTTTCTTTTCTTTTATTTATTTATTTTTTTTGAAACGGAGTCTTGCCCTGTTGCTCAGGCTGGAATGCAATGGCGCTACCTTGGCTCACTGCAACCTATGCCTTCCAGATTCAAGCTATTCTTCTGCCTCAGCCTCCAAGTAGCTGGAATTACAGTTGTGTGCCACCATGCCTGGCTAATTTTTTGTGTCTTTAGTAGAGACGGGATTTCACCATGTTGGCCAGGCTGGTCTCGAACTCCTGACCTCATGATCTGCCCGCCTTGGCCTCCCAAAGTGCTGGGATTACAGATGTGAGCCACCTTGCCCTACCTTCTTAAACTTTTATTTCCCATCAGTTACATGGCCTTCTCAGGTGAATGTGACCAGCCCTAATTCTCTGGGGTAGCTACATCTCACAAATTGTAGTTATTAATACCGAGTCTCAACAGTGGGGCATGGTGGTTGTTCCTGTACCTATACCTTGATTAGATTATATTTTGATTTGGATCTGCTCTAGTTAAATTCCTAAAATTTCCTTATATTAATATTGCAAGTAGGATTACATGTGGGGAAACTCCTCAGACTCTTACGAAACTAAAGGAAAGACCAAAGAAACAGCTTTCGTAAACACCACTGCACTCAGACCAGCCAAGAAACAGCTTTTAACTCCTCTTAAAAGTCTGAACAGACATTGCTCAAAGGTTAATAATAGGTTGTGTCAAGATCATTGATGATCTTTTTCTTTCTTGTTTAAACTTGTTTTGTAATTTCACAATGAGTAATAATTAACTTTGCGTTCAGAAAAATAAAGATATTTCCAAAAAATCACATGCCTGCTCAATGGAGAAATGAACTATTGATGGAGATGACAAATATGCATCACACTTGCCAATGTTGAATTGACACAGAATTTTACTGACATCTCACATTCTTTAAAAATTACATTTCAACTTTAATTTTTTTAAACATTATTTCAAAATTGCAAATAAACTTTAAAGAAACGTATTTTGTGTACATTGAATCTCCCTTTCTATTTTTGTAGCCAGCTGGGTTCTCCAGGAAGGAGACTCTGAGACAGGCAGTAGCATGAGGGCAGGTTTGATAAGTTGTGCTGTTGAGATCAACACTCGTGGAAGGCAAGAGAAGAAAGCAGGGTTGAGCAGAGGGAGCAGTCAAGCTACGATGTAGTCTCAGCAGAGCTTCAGGAGACCCCTAGCTCTGAAGACAGAATGACCCTTCAGAGCTGCTCTTCCGTTCCAAGTAGCAGTGAGGAGCACCAGGGGAGGGAAGAAGAGCTGGGAAAGTGAATGAAGGGGATGCAGGGAGGGGAGGGGGTCCGGTTCTTGTAAGTCCATGTTGGTGCAAGGCCCTGGGATGAGGGCGTGTCCGCAGTAAGGTGATTCTCTTTAGTTGAGGCAATACCTAAAGGGAGCTGATAGTGGAGGTAGTCTTCAAGAAGCCCTCTCAGCAGCTGGGTACTCAGCCCTTTATTCCTGAAGGGGGCTCTGGGTGGAACATTACAGTGTTCATTACAATTTGACAATAACAAATGAGACACTAAATTTGTCTCAAACAGAGCCTATATAGCAGATGCCATTAGTTGCCTAGTCAAAATTCAACTTCTCCCTCTGATCTCATTTGTGTGAAACAATGATGTGCCCAGCCCACATGGGGGAACGAGGCCATCTAAACTAATTATGAAAATCCTATTCACTGATTTTCTGAGCCTCCTGCTGCCCTCCCACCCTTCACAGTAGTTAGGTGTGATCATGTAGCCTGATTCTAAATAAATAAGATCCAAAGAAGTGTTTGCTATAGGGATTGTGAAAAATATTTTGTTTTGTTGTTAAATGGAAGAGAGAAAGCTGACATCCCCTGACCTCTTCCTTTTTCTTGAACATAGCCACAGTGCTTATGGCTGTGGCAGCCATTTTGTAACCAAGAGGAGGTCAGGAAAACTTCTGAGTGTGTTCTGATGTTGCTGAGCGGCTGAAAAAGCTGTAAAACTATCTCTGGATTTCTTGGTTTTTAAAGAAAAATAATCCATAATTGTTTAAGTAGCTAAAATGGGACATTCTGTTACTTGCAGCAAAGTACAATCTAAACAGATCCTAGCGTTATAACTCTATTGAGGATTTTATTAAAATATATAGTTGATATGTGTAATTGTGTGTGTGTTTACCAAATTGTGGTATATTTTTTAACAAATTCGAAAACATCAAATACTGTATTCTCCTTCTGGGTTTTCATATTGCCACATTAGCCTTAATGGTGTTAAAGGTTAGCATTAAAATGTTCTGTCATAAACATGCCTATTTCAAGTTTGTGCTTCAGAAAAATACGCTTCTTAAATATATTTGACTATTAAAACTTTACCTACAAGCATAGAATAGATTGGGAAACATTATTTCACCTGTGTTCTAACTCATAGTCACTAACTCATTCCCTGTCTTTGTGATTGCTTTCTTCAGCAGTGGTCCTAGAAGCATCTGTTTAAGTTGAATTAAGTAAAAACAGTAAAATAGGGTTACTTTTTTTTATGCCTATGATTAGTTTACCCTAGCAAGCAAACTAGCTGATGTATATTCACATGTTGAGCTGTGTTTTAGGATGTGGTCAAAGCCCAACAGAGAAATATGTGGAGCAGCACATTTGCAGCATTATTTGCTGGTCACAAATAACATCCTGTGTCTTTGTACGCCAGTGATTTTCATCTGCCTGCCATCAGTCCCCTTTCACTGCTCTACCAATTTGCTTATTGAGAGTGCAGAAACAGAGATGCAAGATAGAAGTATGCAGCTTCCTATGCAGAAGGAAGGAGGTCTATTTTGAAAAAAGAAATGATAGTTGTGGCCACCTTAACAAAAGTCCTGAGTTGCATTTGATTATGCAGCTTCATGGCCTGGCATCTGCATATATTATATCATGATCTGCTGAGAGGGGCTTAGGTACACCAGCTCCCAGCCATTCTAGTGTGAATGACTGGATATGAGGCTTGCTTTGCTCTTTCATCTGCTTTTAAAAAAATGCTTTATTTTTATTTGTAGTGATTCATTTCGGCATTCTGAAGGGTAACATGGATGTCTTATAGACCTTAATTTAATAAAAAATAAAACTCACTGAAACCTAACTTTTTTTTTCTTCCTCCGTCTTCTACATCTTGATAATAGCACTATCGTCACCCAGACATCTGGTTCCAGCCAGAAATCTGGAACTCATTCTTGCTACCTTGGCATACTCTCTGTCACCCAGGCTGGAGTGCAATGATAAAATGTTGACTCACTGCAAACTCTGAACGCTGATTCAAATGATTCTCATGCCTCAGCCTCCCTAGTAGCTGGAATTACAGGTGCCTACCACCATGTCCAGCTAATTTTTGTGTTTTAGTAGAGATAAGCTTTCACCCTGTTGGTCAGGCTGGTCTCGAACTCCTGACATCAAGTGATCCTCCTATTTCGGCTTCCTAAAGTGCTGGGATTACAGGCGTGAGCCACCATGCCTGGCCAGAAGACCTGGTAATTCATTCACACCATTTCTCTACTGCCTCCTCCAGGCCAAGCATTGTAATTTCTAGACTCCCTACCTCTTTCTACACTGTGGGTTTTATGATCCCTTTGCCACACAACCTCCAGAATAATATTTTAAAAATTAGTTTAGATCAAGTCACTCCCTTAATTAATGGGAGTTTTCAATGTTTTTACATTGCACTAAGAATAAAATTTCAACTTCTTCCCATCCCCTAAGACGCTGCAGAGTCTGGACCCTGCCCTGTTTTCCAACTTCAATATTTAACACTTTCTGTTCTGCTTTATACACTAGAGCAAAGGTTAGCAAACTACATACAGCCCATGGGCCAAATCCACCCTGTCATCTGTTTTTGCAGATGGAATTTTATTGGAACATACCCACATTCATTCCTGTATGTATCATCTATGCCTGTTTTCATGTTACAATAACAGAGTTGAGTAGTTGCAACACAGAACACATAGTCTGCAAAGCCTAAAATATTACCATCAAGCTCTTTAGAAAAAGTTTGTCAATCCCTCCTTTAGAGCCCCACTGGCCTCCTTTCCTCTCCTTAATCAAGATAAACTCTTTGTTACCTATGGCCTTTGCACTTGCCCAAGCCTCTGCTTGGCTAGGGTTCTGTTCTTTATGAAGCTTCTTCCATCATTTCCTCAATGACTCAGCTCAAACTCAGCTCAAATATACAGAAAGTTTTCTCTTGAGCGCTCAAAGTAGGGTACTTTTTTCCCCCAGGTACACGCCACTCTATCATATCCTACTTTTCCTATATAGCACACATTAAAATAGAAATATCTGGCTTAAATTTTTGTTTGTTGTCCACTTTGCCTGCATAAGACTCTATGTAAGCTCCAGGAAGTCAGGCCGTGTCTACCTTCTTTAGCACGCCTTTCCCAGTACCTGGAAAGTGGCCGCACATAGTAAGTACTCATCAAATATTTGTTGATCTAATGTAGTAACAATTGTAACCCACTTTCCGGAATGACATTCAATCATTGAGCTTCATCTCTAGTAGAAATTTCCATAGGAAATATAATGCTCTTCATTCCAAACAGCCTAGAATGCATGAGAGAATAACTACAAACATTCTATGATTGCAGCTCCTAAAGGTAGTCAGGTTGCTAGTGGTATTCATTTATGCATGCATTTATTCATTCAACAAATAGTTCTTGACTGCCAATTCTGGAAAGTATGGAGCAAGACATGACTACTAGAGCTATCCTTTTGTCAGAAGTATGACTAGCATCTTAATAAACTAAGAGATTTCTTTTTCCCAAATTTTAATTA